TCTTTTAGACAGTGGTTGCACTACTTCCGTTGTAGGTGCCGCTGGAGTTGAATTTCTAAATTCCCAAGAAATTAAATACAATCCCACATCTACTAAGCATGTCCGCTTAGCAGATGGTTCCAATAAATCAGTTGTTGGTACCATTGATCTTCCAGTAGAGGCTGATGGTGTGTGTCATACAGTTACATTTTTTGTTGTACCTTCTGTCCCTTACAGTTTCATTTTGGGAAATGATTTTATGCGTCAATTCTCACTGTTATTAAACTTTGAGGATAGGACATGGCAGTCTTCCCGAAGGAAAAGTAAAACAGAGACTACCCAAAAGATTAATTGTTTAGAAGTTGATGTAGATAGAATAGACCCTTGGTTCGATAATTTGAGATCAAAGATAATCCGATCCCCCCTTGATTTTCCACAGTGGAAGGTGGAGAATGATTTTGTTTATAAGTTTGCCCCTACCAAAAATTCTTTTAAGACTAATGATGTAGAGTGGAAAATTCTTGTGCCCAAACCACAAAGGTCTGAAGTTATGAAGTCTTGTCATGAGCCACCTACGTGTGCTCACTTTGGATTTTCCAAAACTTTGTCCCGTATTCAGGAAAGATATTATTGGCCCCAGATGCGTGTTGATGTGCTTAAGTTTGTCAGGTCATGTAAAGTTTGTGGTGCTCAGAAGACACCAAATTATGCTCCATTAGGTAAAATGGGTAAGCAGAGAGAGGCCAAGTTTCCTTGGCAAATAGTTGCAATAGATCTGATAGGTCCCTTTGTTCGTTCAAAGAAAGGTTATACGTGGTTATTAGTAGTTGCTGATTGGTTTAGTAAATATACTTTAGTCCAACCTTTGAGAAAGGCCACGGCTAAGAATATTGTTGAGTTTTTGGAAAATGATGTTTTCCTAATGTTTGGTGTTCCTCAATATGTGATTTGTGATAATGCCTCAAATCTGAACAATCCTCTCTTAATTGAGCTCTGTAATAGGTATAACGTTCAGAAAGTATGGTTTAGCCCAGTATATGCACCTCAGTGTAATTTTGTGGAGAGGAACAATAGAACCATTGGTACAGCCATACGTACATATGTTAAAGACCACGTGGATTGGGACAAGAATTTAGCAAAGATCAGACAAGCTATTAACACTGCAAAGCATGAAGTGACTGGATATACTCCAGCTTTCCTGAATTATGGCCGTCATGTTCCTTTAAGTGGAAACTATTATGGTGTTGATCATAAGGATCAACAGAATCAAGATATCGAGATAATTCCAGGTGACCGTAACATGTATGCTTCAGAAGTCAAAGGTTTAGATAAAGTTTTTGAAAAGGTTAAGGCTAATCTTCGAAAAGGATATGAACGTAACGCTAGGAGTTACAACTTACGTAGAAGAGAAGTCCAATTTCAAGTGGGTGATAGAGTTTGGAAAAGAAATAAGGTTTTGTCTTGTGCTGTCAACAAGTTTATGTCCAAACTAGCACCGAAGTATATTGAAGCAACTATCAAGGAAAAATTGTCACCAGTGGTTTATCGTTTGTCAGATTTAAATGGTTCGGATCTTGGTAAGTGGCACATTAAGGATTTAAAGCCTTTTGTATCAGATGAGGACAATATGTCATCTTTAAGTAATTAGTTCATCCTATCCCATATGTCTGTATTTTCGAGTTTGTATGTTGATTTGATTTCATCCCTTTGGAATATTGTTTCACTTTTGATAATTTTAATTCAGGTAACCTATTTTATTTGGGAGACACATGTGAGAATCACATTTTGTCATATGTAGGTATATAGATTTAGGGTCTATATCCTAATTATTTTTTTGTAGAACCGTTGCCGAATTCCCTGTCTCGCTAGGCGTATAGTGGAGATAGTAGACGCCTACCTGTTAAGTGTAGAGCAATTTATTTTGGATTTGTGCGTAGCACTTGGTTTAGGCAACGAGGTGTCATGGCTATGCCTGCCCGACAAATCACTTGTGTTACTGCTGTGAATGTCAGCGAGGTTCACTGCAGGGCATAAGGTTAGCTTCCCCCAAGGCATAGAAACTCATGTCACCTACAGTTCATTTTAGAGTCAAACATTTCAGTCTACTCGACTTTAAAGAGTCTGGCGATCGATGGCACGCTAGCCCATTCTTGTAACTAATTTTGTTTTTGTTGTTTAATCCCATGCTAGCCATCATCTAAAAGATATTATTAAGAAGTTTCGACTCAGTTAGGAGGTCATCTTCCGATTTTGTTTTTGTTTGTTTTGCTTTTATCAAAAACTGGATAAAGTTATCCGAGTTTTTTCTTTTAAGAAGGGGCATTGTAGCGTTTTATATTTAATGTCTAAATAATAATATAAATTCGATTCTATATAGTACGCCCCTGGTACGCTAGAAATGTGTTGTCTGTAGAGATTTTTAAATACGCAATAATTCTTCAATAAATAAAAACGTATTTGCTAAAGAGAACAATTTATGGCTTTTTAACTTCAACGTTCCCAGAAAAATATTGCAACTTGGTATTATTTTTTCTAAAGCGCAGTAACGCCGGATGTTTTGAACGAATTTGAGTAAAGAATTTGTTGATTTGACAAGATGGCAATGGTTTTGTGCGGGGAAAAGAGGGGTTACTATTCGGAGATTGAGATCGAGAGGGTCAGCGAAGGCAGTGATGAATAATTGCTCGCAGCGAAAGGTCGTTTTAATGGTGATGTGGTAAGCCGGCATTCATTCGCCAAAATGGTGGAATTTTCATTCTAAGTAATATGTCGTTTCTGAAAGAGTGACCAGTAACCACTGTTTTTATTTTGGCTGAAGATTTATGATGTTTGAGCAGTGAACAAGTTTAGTTCCTGTTTTGTTTTTCGTTTTTTGAGAAATCCAGTTCATTTCCGAGATGCCCTTTTCACCTCATGTAGAATAATATTGGAGCAGTTTTGATTTGGATGTGCCAGTTTCAGCTTCCAATAAAGCTTTCTGTTGATGTGCAGTTGGATACCCCGCAGAAGTTAGCCAGTTGTTCAAAAATTTAAGTTAACATGTGTGAACTGAGGTAACATTTACGTTATTAATTTTTAAAGTAAAAATAGACATTTTCTTTTAAAAAGACAAAATTTGCTTTCTTTTATAAATTATTTAAAAAAAAATATTTGTAATTATATTATGTTAGGGCCTGGTTTAAACTGTCATGTCATAATTTTATCCTGTTTTAAAAATGTTTGTTTTGACGTATGACAGTTTGATTTTTAATCTATTTTGATTTGTAGTAAAGATTAAATTTTATTCTTTATAAAAGGATATCCATAAAATTTGGCCACATTATCCACTAGGAACCATTTTAGAGAATTTTGTAACCTTTTGTAAACAGATATGTAAGTTCTTTTTATTTGTATTGGACAGCTATTTATATATAATATGCCTTTGTTGCTGTAAGTTGTATTGCTTTATAAGCTGTATTTTTGAAAACTGTTTGAGACAATAATAAATGTTTAATTTGTTTCTCTTATCTATTTTGAGTTTTATTTGAAAAAGATATTTTTTTTTATATTTTTGATGTTATACAATTATTTCCTTAGTTACAACTAGTGGTTGTAATAGGTATAATTGGGCACCTCAAGTGGCGCCCTATATTAAATTTCTTGAGGTGTTTCCGTTTATTTTCATTCTGTTTGTCCAATAGATTCGTATAAGTACCTTTTATTTCCTTTTTTTGTAGTTGCCCCAATCCAACCCCCAATATCTTCAACTTATCCACGACCCAGCTCTCCAACAACCAACTGAGTGTCGTATGCACTTGTTCCGATTATTTTGTTTGCCCAATCTTGTCCCCCATATTCTTACCCTGTGGTAAGCAAAATAGTTGTTACAAGAGCCAAGGAAACATGGATGCACGAAAAATGTAAACTAATCGAAGAGCTCCAAGTGAAACACGATTATATAAATATCCACCGAAAGATTCGAGAAGCCACTGATCAATACAAGAAGAGAAATACACACCTCCTCATAAATAAAGACGGGAATCTGGCAACGACAGTTAAGGAGAAATTGTTGACCTGGAAAATGTACATCTAAGAACTTTTCTGGGACTACTGAGGTAACCTTCCATAAATAAATTGCATTACAGGGCCGTCAATACTAGAAAGCGAGGCGAAAGCAGCTTTAAAACAGTCTAAGAATGGAAGGTCACAGGTCTAGACAAAATACTTATTGAACTTACTAAGGTGATGAGTGCAGTGAGCACAAAGGAGTTAATTGAACTGTTAACGCCATATATGATTCAGGTACTATTCCAGAGGAATGGCTATTGTCAACATTTATAACACTACCAAAAAAAAACGATCTGCTAGAACGTGCGAACATTGCGCACTTAAGATTTGAAGTGCGAGTCATGCACTTAAGATTTTTCTTAAAATCATACATGCCAGAAGTTAATGAAATGCGAAAAAAATGTCGGAAAATGCAATTTGGATTCCGCAGTTTCATGGGTATACATGATGCGCTTTTCACCTCACAAGTCCTACTTCAGAGATGCCGCAATCTCAGTTGTGATGTCTATATATTATGTTTTATTGACTACGCCAAGACATTTGATCATTCTTAGCATCAGAAGATGGTCGCCGCCCTACAAAGAGTAGGATTTGATGAGAAGGACATTCGGATCGATCATCATGAATTTATACTGGAACCAGCGTGCTCAAGTCAAGGTCGAAGACCAACTGGCCGACCAAGTAAAGATCATGCGAGGAGTAAGGCAAGACTGTGTGCTCTCGTCTTCTGTTTTTAATATATACTCTGAAAAATTTTTACTGAAGCCCTCACAAACCTAGAGATGGAAATCCGAGTGAACCGTAAATACTCAGCGTTATCCGCTACTACGATGACACTGTGTTGCTAGCAACTACCCTAAATGATCTTAAAACCTTACTAGACCGAGTGAGAACTGTGAGCGTAACATACGGACTAGAGCTTAGTATTAAGAAAAGTAAATTCATTCATAAACATATGTTAATGTCGTCTGATTTTATATGTGTTTTGATCTTTTTATTATCGGAATAGAAAATTTCAAGATCTTTGTCTGGGTTGTCTGCTCTCGGTGCGTATATTTGTATTATATTGATGTTTAATGATTTTCCATTTAATTTGATAATTATTAATCTGTCGCGCGCTGACTGGTAGAAAACTTTTCGTGTGTTGTTTCATGGATGCTGTTACCAACACTCCTATACCTGACTGAGCAACATCATCTTTGCCTGCATAATAGAAACGGTTGCCATTTACTGTATTCACATATCCTTCTCCTTTCCATCTCACCTCGCACATACCAAGTATGTCCCACTTTATTCGTCTCATGTCCCACATCATCTTTGCCTGCATAATAAAAACGATTGCCATTTACTGTATTCACATATCCTTCTACTTTCCATTTCACCTCGCACATACCAAGTATGTTCCACTTTATTCGTCTCATCTCGTTTTCAGAATTTGCTAGTTTGGCTGCTCTATTTAAAGTTTTAACGCTCCACGTAGCACTTTAAAGTTTCCTCGTGGGGATTCTTAGCATTCCTTGAAGATTGAACGCCTGCCGGGAACTGGGGCCACTTTTTTATTTTGACTTGCCATAAATTAACTATCTTGTGAATTTAATGCGATGGTTTCCCACTTGCCTTTCGCATCCTATGCCATTGACGACGGTATGTCGTTTATCTGCCTTCGGGGACGATTTCTCCTCTCCAGGAATAGAGGTTCCCTTGGTCATTGCTAAGAATAACTTTGAATGCTTATACCAGCAAACACTCGGTCCCCAGTGGAGGTGCAGATTAGGGGTTTCTCTTTATGGAGATCAAGGCGATAAAGGCATTTCTTGATACTTTCCAGTACTTTTAGAAGACATGAGTAGTCATTAAGGTCATAAAAAATAACTGATAATAAATATGTTTGAATGTGGTAATCTAGTCTTATTGAATTTTTTAGTATCGTACAGGAAGGTGCAAATACGCGTACTAGAAACTATTTTATGGAATGAAGATGGTTACATGTAGTCTGAATAAATAGCTCAGATTGACAATGGAATGCACAGGTATAGTTTATAAAGTATTTAAATATATACAATCACTATTTCCTTAAGATAATGGAACCAATAATAAACAACGTATAAGCAAAGCTACTGCATTATTTGTACGCATAGTAGAAAAGATAATTCAACAAGTAAATATGTTAACAAACGTAGATTCAAATAATTTACAATATTTTTTAGCACTTTCCGGCAGTTAAAAGTTTTTAACAAACAGTTCATTTAAAAAATCAAATTTACTATTTTCACAAGACAGAAGGTTGTTTATATGATTGCAGCTTTTACAGAACAGGCTTAAAAAGTCGTATGAGTGGACTGGAAGTGTGACTTCCCTCTAGAGGATTGTAAAACATTTCGGATTTAAATGGAAGGAAACGAAAAATAATCGACGTTTATTAATTTAACGTAATGATATTGGTGCTGTACTTCTCAAATATTTAAGCAATAATAAATACTACAGAAGTATATAATACCATGAACATGCAGAAAACATTACGCGGAACAGCCGGTCAGATCATGGTGATGAATGATTGTTCATATGATAATAACACTATCAATAAAAATGAGTTAAATTTTATCATAGACATCATTCTAAAATACCATACACAAAATAAGGTACTTTTTCAAAATTTTAATGATACTTATAAATATTATGATATTTTAAAAACAAAACCCTATTACTCTGAGACAAAAATTGTTTTTCACTTTTCTCTTTTTTTTTTCACTGTTCACTTTCCTATTGTTTACCCATAAATCTTCTCCTATTATCATCTGTATTCAATTCGTACATCAAATCACAGTACCATCGTACCTAAAAATTTCTTTCTGACTATGAATGAAAATTATTACCAAAATCTCTCACTGCCCTGTCTAAACCTGAAGCCCACTTTCTATTGTAGTGATGGCGATATCTCTGCTTGAATAGATAAAGAAGATTGCGTCTTCCAATTATTGCAAATGAAGACCAGTTCCACAACATGCCGCGGAACTTCCGTTCCAATATCTGAGAATGTAATACATCAAATTGATGATTCACATTATATTGCCATCTTCGTAAACCAAACTAAAATCGAGGCGGTATGCCAGAAAATAGATTTTAACACATTAAAAGTAAGTTTCCATTCCCTATCAATGCCAGTTCAAAGTAGATAAGACAACGTTTAGTAATAAGAAGACAATTGTCCAAGGCCAACCACTTCTCTTACCTGAGTTGAGAGTTTCTAATGCTCAAGAAAAAGAAGAAGTTCCAGAAATTTTTTCTAAACTATATCACTCTCGACAAAATTCACAAAATCTAAAGGAATTAAAATTAAATTCAACCCATGGTACTCCAGTACCTAAAGGAACGTCCCAAAAACCATTGGAATATCATAATATACATATAGCAACATATAGCATATAGCATATAGTAACTAACAACACATAGCAGCAACATATAAAAAATTAGCACAACAACTGACCGTATGGTCTAAAGTAAATGAAATATTATATTTAATCTTAAGTAGTGAAAAAGAACCAAGAAAATCATAGATATACTTCCAACTATTTAATAATTATTAAGCTTTGATATAATATTAATCCAGAATATTTAACATCTCACCTGACAAGACAATGTACGGTGGACGCCTACGCAGAAATGCACGGCACCTTAAGAAGAAGAAGCTTTGATTTTAACTTTAGGTAGCATTATAAGTATAAAATTTAAATAAATTTTTAACCTTTTTTTACTACTTTTTAAATAAATTTTTATTAACATCACTTATAATGCTACCTAAAGTTAAAATCAAAGCTTAATAATTATTAAATAGTTGGAAGTATATCTATGATTTTCTTGGTTCTTTTTCACTACTTAAGATTAAATATAATATTTCATTTACGTTAGACCATATGGTCAGTTGCTGTGCTAATTTTTTATAAGTCGCTATATGTTGTTAGTTACTTGATTGTTTATACAATATCACCATATAATGTCCATTTACTTGAGTTTTATTCACATAATTGTAAATAACTTTGACTGCTACATGTCTTTTTAAGGTAACAATTATAACATCGTTTCCATGATTGTGTAGTTCTCATATTGTACTTTTTAGATAAACTGTTGATGCTTTCAGAGTACGAAAGCGAAACGTCTTCAAAATAGATAAAGTAGCCTATCAACTTTGTCTTATATTTCTCCACCTTGAGACCGATATATAAGAACCCACCACTCGTCTGAGTGATCCTTATATATATTGGATTGACGATCGTACTCCTTTTCCGATATATATATATATATATATATATATATATATATATATATATTATATATATATATATATATATATATATATATATATATAAGGATCACTCAGACGAGTGGTGGGTTCTTATATCGGTCTCTAGGTGGAGAAATAAAAGACAAAGTTGATAGGCTACTTTATCTATTTTGAAGACGTTTCGCTTTCGAGTTTTGAAAGCATCATCAGTTCATCTAAAAAATTATTACAATATGAGAACCACACAATCATGGAAACGATGTTAATTGTTACCTTAAAAAGATATGTAGCAGTCAATGTTATTAACAAATATGTGAATGAAACTAAGTAAATGGACATAGTACGCTGATCTTGTATAAACAGTTAAGCAACTAACAACATATATGAACTTGTACAAAAATTAGCACAGCAATTGACCATGTGGTCCGAAATAAATTCATTGTTATTTAATGTTAATAAGTGAGAAAGAACCAAGAAAATCATAAATAACCTCCAACTATTTAATGGATATTAAACTTTGATTTTAACTTTAGGTAGCATTATAAGTAATATTAATAAAATTCTAAAAAATAGTGAATATGAAGTTACCGATCAAAGCCCTATGGATGTCGCCGTGAAAATGGCGTTAGATGAAACAGGAACGAACTAAACCGCAAAAAGACAGCCAACCTTGAGGTCAAAATTACTTTTGACAGATCAACAAGGTGTAAATACCAACCCAAAATTTTGGGCGGTTAATTTAATTTTAAGGAACCTATTAGACTACCATTCCTGTCATCCTATGAAATACAAACTAAACCTTATAAAAGCTTTAAGCTTTAGATTAAATAAATTGACACATCCAATTAATCGAAGGGAATCCTTTAAGTTATTGAGAAATATTCTAATAGAGAATTCATATCCTTCCTCTATCATCAATAAATACCTTTATTCGCATAGTTATGGATCCTCAATTTATGACATACCCGATGGTGACCAACTTATAAACATCTCTAATAATTCTATAAATAGCACTGTTCTGCATAATACCGATCTTGAGAATACTATCACGCATTACTCTTCCTTACCATATTTCCCTCAAGTTACTGAGAAGCTTATTAAATTGTATAAACAAAATAATATACCTGTTAAAATTGCTGTTAAGAATGCAAAAACTGTTAGAAATTTGTTCTCTAAAACTAAAACACCCTTGTCCACTTTGGAACAAGTGAACACAATTTATAAAATTCCATGCGCTAATTGCGATCTTTGTTACATTGGGCAATCTGGTAGATCATTGAAAGGTCGTCTCACTTCACATCGTAGCGACATTAACTTATCGAAACACACTTGTGCTCTAGCACAACATGCGATAAATACAAAACATGAAGTGGATTTTAATGAAGTTAAGATTCTTGCCACTGAACGCAATCTAGCTAAAAGACAGTTTTTGGAAATGTGTTCAATATTAAAACATCCTAATGCATTGAATAAGAGAACTGACATAAGTAACTTGAGCCAGATATATCATTCTTTAATTTTGCAGAATTAGGCTACTTAATCTTTTCACTACATTAATGTCATATTAGGTGTACTAGTTGAACTTTTTTCCACTTTTCATAAAACAATTTACATACATAAATAGAAATAAAATAAATAAATATATCAATTAAATAACTTAATTTCTTTACTTAATTTTACTATTACATATGAAACCCATATTGCATTTCATTACACTAATTTCTTTGATTAGTGTTTCAAATTATATATAAAATAATACAAACATTGTAATTGATTCATAGAATCCTTTACAAATCACAGCTCCAAGTATATTGAACCTTGGGCTGTTTGGAAATTATAATATCGTTAACCACCTGGCTATTTAACTTGCCACATGATTAACGTCATTACATTATTATGAGTTTGAATGAAAATCTCCGGTTTGTAAATTTGGGCCGGTTAGTGAGGGGAGTTGTGTTTACACTACCAACTTTTTTCACTGTTGTGTCCTTTGCAACCTGGTAGTCATCCAGACTCAGTTAAAATTAAATTAACCGCCCAAAATTTTGGGTTGGTATTTACACCTTGTTGATCTGTCAAAAGTAATTTTGACCTCAAGGTTGGCTGTCTTTTTGCGGTTTAGTTCGTTCCTGTTTCATCTAACGCCATTTTCACGGCGACATCCATAGGGCTTTGATCGGTAACTTCATATTCACTATTTTTTAGAATTTTATTAATATTACTTATAATGCTACCTAAAGTTAAAATCAAAGTTTAATATCCATTAAATAGT